AGTTTTCCATAGTGGTTGTACTAGTTTGCATTCCCACCAGCAGTGCAGGAGAGTTCCTTTTTCTCCACATCCTCGTCAACATTTGTTGTTGCTAGTTGTTTGAAGGTATGCCATTCTCACTGGGGTGAGGTGGTATCTCATTGTGGTTTTAATTTGCATCTCCCTTATTACGAGTGATCAACATCTTACTTTTTAAAATTTTTTTAATTTATTTTTGCATAGAAGAACTGGGGCATAGGCCAAAGTTGCAGGTGGTGAGAGGATTCACCAGAGATAAAGTGTGGAACAGAACAGGAAAACTTACTAAATTACACTAAAGGGAGCAGTGGGCTAGACAGGAGGGGTCTACTTTGCCATATGTGGATCAGCTCCCTGCCCAGTGATTGAATTCAGGCCATAGTGGTGATAATGCTGGGGCTTAACCCCTAGGACAGCAGAGAGGTCCTCAACATCTCATCTTAATGATGATGGTTGTGGTGGTGGCACAGATTTAGTGACTCCTTTTGGCCTAAGATACAGGCTAACAATATTTTTCTGTAAAGAACAAGACAAAATATTTTATGCTTCTTATGCTTCCCTTTTACAGTTTCCTTTATTCCCAATGTCAATATATCCTATATACAGGCATTCTGTGTAAACCTGTAGACAGATTGTTCTATTACTGTATGAATTACTCTAAAACTAAGCTGCCGAAAACAATCATTTCTATTTAAGAAATGTTCAGCTGCCAGGTTCTTGTTTATAGCCTCATGATGCTGAAGTTACACGTCATCTGGGATAGTAATAATCTTCGAGTTGGATTGGGATAGACATCCAGGAGGAAGTATTCAAATGGCTGGCAGATACTGCTGTAACTGATTAGAACTCGGATGGAGATGTCAACCAGAGAGGATACACATGGCCTTTATAGCATGGTGGCCTTGGAACTGCAGAATTGTTTCATGATGGTTTCTTCCTCCCAAAAGCACCACGTAGATGCTTCATGGTGTTTTCTGACCTCACCTCAAAAGTCACACAAGGTGATTTCCACTGCACTATCTATGATGGACTATGGTGGTAAAGTATGGGTGTTTCAGTGTGGCTGTAATACAGTAACAACACCCAAAGGGGAAGAACACCTGTAAAACACAATGTAAACCGATGTTACCTCAATAAAAATACATGCATACATGAAAAATAAATGGGTCATAAGTTTAAAGAGAAGAAACGTTGCCCACATTCCTCAGTGAAAAAAAGTCAAAGACACCTTCGGACTAGTATATCATCTTTGGGAATTAAATCTGTCCTCCTGGTGAAGAAACAGATATAATCTGCATATAGGTAATTTGTTGGAGCATTGTTGTTTAGAGTGAAAATATGGAATATTTATAGTATTATTAATTATTAATCATGAAAGAAAGGAATATTTCCAACCTTACCCAATGGGATCTTGATTAAATAAACTATGGCGAATCAAAACAGTAGAGTAATATGTAACATCATATTTGCCAACACCTATTATTAGCGGTCTAATGGGTTAAATCCCTCTTGGATGTTATGAAGTGGTATCTTATTTTGATTTTGATCTGTATTTCCATGATGACAAATGATAATGAGCATCATGCTTACTGACAATTTGCATATTCTCTTTGTAAAATCATCTGTTTAGGTCCTTAGTCCATTTTAAAATGGGGTTATTTGGAGTCTTTTAAAACTGAGCTTTAGGAGTTTCTTTATACTTTTTAAATATATGAGAATATATTAGCTATGTTACTTACAAATACTTATCAGATATATCAATTTCAAAATTTTCTCCCATTCTGTGGATTTTCTTTTTACTCTCTTGATGTGTTTTGTGAATCACAAAAGTTTTACAATTACATTACAAAAGTTTGAGCTTTTGGTGTCATATCTAAGAAAACATTGCCTAATCCAAGGTTATGAAGAATTACACCTATTTTTAGTTTTTAAGGATCTATTTATTTATGCATACAAGAACTGGGGTGTAGGCCAGAGGTATTGGGGGTGAGAGGATTCATCAGAGACAAATTGGAGACCAGAACAGGCAGATCTACTGAGATTCACTGCTGAGGGGAGCAGTGGGTGGGACATAAGTCTGCTGTGCCATGTGGGCCAGAGATGGAACTTGTGGCTATGGATAGCTTAATAATGCTGGGACTTAATCCCTCCTGGCACCAGGGAGGCCCCTTGATGTTATTTTAAAGGGAAACACTTTCTACTCCTCTCTTCAAAATGTTCATGGCTAGCATAAAGAATTAAAGTTGATTTTTGTATATTGATCTTATATTCTGCCGCATTGCCGAATTTTTCTGTATACAAGATCACATCATCTACAAATATAAATAGCTTTATTTTTTCCCCTTATAACTTGGGTGCCTTTTATTTCATGTTTCTATTCTGAAAACAATTTGAGTGTATGTCAATAAGAAATTAAGCCTCTTCATTTTTGTTCAACTATTTAATCATACAAATAATTTCTCTAATAACCTATTTTTTAACTGATCAGAAAAATATCTTATATACTATAACTTTTTAAATTTAGGCCTGTTAAGTGGGCTCTCTGTCACTATGCTTATTCCAGTACTACATTGAGTTAAGATTCTAACTTATAAATCATTCTGCTTCCTTGAAATGTGAGTTCCTCCATTAGGTGTAAATGAAATTCACATCAGATAAGTTAAAAGTAGCTAGCATGTCGCCTGGTACATAGTGACATTCTCTAGAGGGCAATACTACATCCTGTGGCTTTCCTTTGTGTCCCACAACCTACAGTAATTTGGAATGATGGATAACTGGTAAGTATTTGTACTGTATATTGAGCAACTAACATAAAAAGATGCTTATTTTCGGGCCCTCCCTGGTGGCGCGGCGGGTTAGGGCTCTGCACTGAGAAGCTAAAGCCGCTTCAGCATGAGTTCGATTCCCGCCTGCCCCGGAGGTGACCGCATGGAGTGGCAGACCTCTCCTGGCCCACCCGCTGCTCCCCTCAGCAGTGTATTTCCTCTATCTGCCTGTTCTGCTGCCCACTCTGTCTCTGGTGAAGCCTCTCGCCACCCCTGAGCCTCTGGCCTGTGTCCCAGTTCTGTATGCACAAATAGATGAATCTTTAAAAAAAAAAAAAAGATGATTATTTTCTAAATCAAACGCCCAAAGATAACTAGGGTAAAAAAAAATGTACTAAGATTATGCAACTAAATCTGAACTGATGGACAATTGTGATGTTCCAGTTTTTTCCATTATAAACTAAGCTAATAGAATCACTATTGTAGCCCCAGCAGCAGCAAAGAAGAAATGCATAGTAAATAATTGTTATGGGGATTTTTCCAACATAAAATATAAGATTATAGTTAACAGATTTATTATTTCAGTAAGTAAATATTAAAGGTGGAAATTATATGCCAGATAATCAAATATCCTTGTTTTTATTTTTATGTTTAACAATTACAAAGTTGCCCTTCAGAAAATGTTTACTAATAAACTCAACAGGAACAGGTAAGAGAGCATGTGTCTGCAATTCCTCAACAAATCTGATACACTTTTTCATGCAATCAAGTCTATCAACGTTTGCCTTAATTATTCATTTTTTTTTGCTGTTGGATTTTTAAAGGCCTTCCGCTTATGTGGAAACGGAGACTGCCTGTTCAGAACTTGTTCTAATAAGGGAGTCAGCCACCATCACTGGTGCTTGGGGGAGACCTAAAGGCAAGCAGGGAAGTGGGGAGCTCTATAGTGAAAGCAGGAGACGTCAGGAATTCTCGACTTGGAGGTTACCGGCCCCGGGAGGCTGGAGGCAGGCTAGTCAGAAGTGGGGCGTTTTATGTGATTGGTTTTGGGAGCATGTTCGGCTTCCTCTGGTTGTGGAGAAGCACAAGATAAAGAGACAGGCAGTCGTTGTTCAAGTCCTGCAGATTGCTGCAGAGCTCGTGGTTAACTGAGCTGCCTGCTGCAGAGGTTGTGGGTCACAGCTCTATTGTCACAGACGTTCTGGTGGTCGTGGTCCGTTGTGTAGTCAGTCTGTTACAGAGTAATCGTTCTTTAATTCTACCTCAAGCATCATTTCACTCTCAGATCTAAGTAGTTCATTCTCTAGAAAACGGAGGTGTACGCATGTCAGGGAAAATGAGCAATTTCATTTCGGGGGAAACATTTCCCCAATTGTTTTGTAAGTGCCGTAGTCTCCTCTTTGCACAGTATTAAAGGGCATATTTATATGGTTTTATTGGGTGGGTCTGCTTTCTTTCAATGGAATTTAAGAGCTACGTCGTCGAGACTCCTCCCCTGGACCGCCCCACCCAATATTTTAAAAGCCTTGTGTTTTTTATTAACATTCTTTCTTGGACCAACTTCTTCAAAAGAGGAAAAAGACAAAAGAACCCTGAGAGGTGAGGGGGGACCTGCTCCGGAGAGGCGGCAGGGGGCTGACAGCCGCCGGCTGGTGGGCGGGGCGCGGGGGGCGAGCCAGGGTGACGCGACTCACGTGACCGCGGCCGCAGATGTGGGCACCAGTCCGGGATCCCGCCCTTGCTCCCCGCGGTCGGACCCGGAGCGGTCCGCTGAGCTCCCACTTCTTGCCCCAGGTTCAACCAGGTCAGTGGCGGGGGGGGCCCGGGGGGGGCCCCCGCGGGCCGGGGGGGGGGGGAGGCCCGTCGGGGCCGCCCGCGGACCTTGGGAGTGGGGAGGAGGGGCGAGCGTGGAAAGGAACCAGGTCTGGGATGGGGTCTGGGTGGAGGGCAGCTGGCCCGAGCGTACTGAGAGATGGCGGTGGGGAAATGGCTAAGGGAGAGCTCGCCGCCAGCAGGCGGAAGGTCGGGGACGTGGACACCCCAAGTACTCTTGCCCCCTTTCTCCGCACCTCCTCCTTTCTGCCCTCCGTCCATTTTGGAGCTGGAGATGGTAAGCTGGGGGGCGCCCCAGCAGTGAGACCGTGGAAATAACCCCCCTCTGCCACTCCGTGCATAGAGAAAAAAGTTGACCTGCAGGGCGCAGAGGCGAGTTGCCTCCGGAGAAGGACACCGAGATCCAAAATTAGTTAGGGAAACATCCTGGTCCGGCGCCGGAGGCGTGAAAGAAATGGCCGCTGGGGTGCTGGGGCCGGAGGAGTCGGGGGAGGGAAACGTCGGGGGAGGAGGGCCGGGATCCAGGAAAGGGACCCGTGTCCCGGTGCATCCAGCGAACGCCCAGCCCCTATCTCCTGTCTGTCTGCAGCTCTGCGTGTCTGTTGTTCTCAGCACTCTGCTAGGCTAGAAAAAGAGGAGGAACCTGTCCAGAATCCCCTCAGGTCAGTGAAGGAGGGGGCCACTGGACAGGGACCCAGAGGGGTGGGAAATGTGGAGGGCAAGGGCTGCTTGGAATTTGTGGCACTCACCGCCTACCTCCCAGCATATTTACATGCACGACGCCACGTTGAGCTAACATACAGAAAATGGCAGGGCCTGCCAGGAAAAGGATTGGCTTACGTGTATGGGAGGAATGGTGGGGTCCAGGGTGGGCAGCAGGCATGGTTGGACGGCCAGCCCAGATCAGGGGAACCCTGGCAGCGGAGAGGTGAGATTGCTGTGGGGACCTACTTTCCAGCCTCAAGCCCTCAATCTCCCTCTTCTCTTTGTCCCCTCTCCTTCCCCACCCCACCTCCCACTCCCCCCCCACACACACACCCCAGAACAGGAAAAGGAGGAGAAATCTCAACATGGAAAAGCTCTGCAGTGAAAATGAAGGAAAGCCCGAGAGCCAAGGAAAGCTGGAAAATGAAGAATGGCCCCGCGAACTGGGAAGGCCGGAAGTAGCTTATACGCTGGAAGACAAGGAAAAGTTAGAAAATGAGGGAAAGACAGAAGCTGAGGCAACGCTAGGGGCTAAGGGAAAGCTAGAGAGCCAGGCTCTGCCAAAAGAAGAAACGCCAGAGGTTGAGGGAAAACCAAAAGAAGAGGGGAAGCCAGAGAGCCAGGGAGAGCCAGAGAGCCAGGGAGAGCCAAAGGAAGAAGGAAAGCCAGACAGTGAGGAGGACCTGGAAGGTGAGGAAAATCCAAAGCAAGAAGGCAAGCCAGCCAGTGAGCCAAGGGCTGTAGGAAAGCGCCCGGCTGAGGGTGATATCCCCAGGAAAGCCAAAAGAAAAACCAACAAGGGGCTAGCTCAGTGCCTGAAGGAACACAAGGAGGCCATACACGACATGCATTTGAGCAATGAGGAGATGATAAGAGAATTTGATGAGATGGCTAGGGTGGAGGATGAGGTGAAAAAAACCAGACAGAAATTAGGGGGTTTTATGTGGATGCAAAAAAGTTTACAGGACCCCTTCCACCCCAGGGGCCCGAGGGAACTCAGGGGTGGCTGCCGGGCTCCACAAAGGGGCTTTGAAGACATTCCTTTCGTTTAGTGCCCCTGATTGGCATTTGCCAGGCCCTGTGCTTTAGACCTTGTGCTAGTCTTTTGCTTTAGATGTCCCTCTCGATATCCAGCTGCAGCCCTCTGTGTTTCAGTAGCAGATTTTCATCCTTTGCATGGAAAAATGTTTATGGTGCATTGTAAAATTAAAACAGAAACAGTTTGCAGAACCATATATATAGCATGAGTCCATTTTTGTAAAACTATAAAATCATTTACCTAGAGAGCTATGTACAGAAAAAAAATCCTGAAAGCTGTGTCCACTAAAGAATTAATAGTGGTCATCTGTGGGTTATTTTTTTCCTATTCTTTTTAATTCATCTGTATTATTTTCTCTTAAAAACACATTACTTTTAGCATAAAAATAATGAAAGTCATATAATAGGAAAACAATATATACCAAGCAATCAAGATCTATTCAGTAAGCTTATGAAGGTAGTAGAGACACAATTCTTGGTGTTAGGATATGAAATGCTAAGTAAAACTCAACTACTCAGAGCTGGAGGAATCAACCTGGTAGTTATAGATCCACTGCTGTAAGGGACAGTCTTGTCAACTGTGAAATGGGGATCTGCCGTCAAGAACCGCATAGGAGATCAAATGAGGTACTGAGTGTGTAAGCTGTGTTGGTCCCTCTCAGATGTTTGGGGGAGGGCTGAGGGAAGTTCCACATGTGCCCAGGAATAGCTGAGAGGTACATGCCACTCTCCTCTTGATAATGCCATTTCCATTAGGCACTGCCTCTTTTCAGTGGGCCCTGTCCCCTCCTAAGCCCACACTGTTGCTGGTAGACTGGAGACCAGGATGCATTAAAGCAACAGTATCTCAGCAGAAGGGTGGAAAATTCTTTTCTACCTGCAATAGTTTACCCCATCGGGTAGTATGCAGTTGTAACTTGACCTTGATAAAGTTCTTATAAGACACTCCTTTCTAAGTTTTTCTGTTGGTTTGTATGTGTTTTGCATACAGCCATCTCAACTGGATTTAGATAGTGGAAGCAGAGCTAGGAGAAAAATCGTAGTGACCAGATGCTATACTGTTCTCACCTGTTCATCTCTTGTCTGCTGATAGTTTTTTCTTAGAAGGCAGTGTTTCCCAGGAAATCCCTGTTAAGCCCTGCCTTACCATTGCAATAGATCCATCTGGGTGGTGTTTTTTCCTTTTTATTTGCTTACAGTGGTTTTTTTTTTTAATAAACTTATTTTAGGATAGTTGTAGGTTTACAGAATTACTGCAAAGATAGTACAAAGGTTCTGTATACCCCATTCCAGCAACCCCTATTATTACAGATTAGTATGGCACATTTGTCACAATGAACCAATGTTGATGACATAATTTTCTAAAGTACATACTTGATTATTCAGATTTCCTCAGTCTTTCCCTAATGTCCTTTTTCTGTTCCAGGATCCCATCCAGGTTACCATCTTACTTTTAGTCGTCAAGTCTCCTTAGACTCCTCTTGGCTGTGACAGTTTCTCAGACTGTATTTGATGTCCTTGACACTTTTGAGGAATACTGGTCAGGTATTTTGTATAATGTCCCACGGTCAAGTTTGCTTGATCCTTTTTCCTTATGGATACACAGGCATTAAGTACTTTTGGGAAGAGGACCACAGAGGTAAAGTGCTGTTCTATCACATCCTATAAAGGGGACATATTTTCAGTATTGTCACTTTTGATGTTAACTTTGCTCCCCTGGTTGAGATAGTGTTTGTCAGGTTTCTCCATGGTAAAATTAATCGTTGATTTTTCCCTTTCCATACTGTGCTCTTTTGAAAAGGTGTAGACTTTGCAACCCATACTTAAAGAGTGGGCTTTACGCCTTACTTCCCTGAAGACAGAATATCTATAAAATTTACTTGGAATTCTACATGAGATATTTGACTTTGTCTCTTAACTCTGTAACTCAACTTTTCGATTTATTTATAAGTATGGAGTCATTTTGTATTGTGGTATATTCTATAATATCACTTTATTTCCTTGTTCACATTGTTCCAGGTTTGGCCATTAAGAGCCCTGCAGCGGGCTCTTGTGTCTATTTGACGTATCGCTGTCATTGTGTCGTACGTTTTTTAACAAAGTCTTACTTTATGGCACTACAGGCTGTTCTAACTTGCCTTGCATTGTCCCTGCTCAAGCCCTAGGATCAGCCATTTCTCCAAGGGACCCTGGTACTGTTGGTTGGAAAATGGTATTAAAAACCAAGACCTGGGCACTAAGTATAGTCATTATTATTGGCATAGTATTGCTTCAACGCCCTCTGTCAACTTGTAGATATATACATACACATTTATATGTGTATTTATGTATATACATTTTACATCTCTATATTCTCTATATTCTTTTTTTATTAGAAAATTTGACCTCTAGTCTTAGACTCTACTTATTTCCAAAGTTACCTATGTCAGCACCTAATTTCTTTATCTCTCTTAGTGAGGTTGCATACATTTGTAATATACTGAGATTCTTCTGTCACATTCTGCATTTTGGAAGTGCACTTCTAAATGATATTTTAAAATCTCAAACTGCAGATATTTATTGCTGTTACACAGGAAAGCAATTGACTTGTGTAGTAGCCTTGCATCTTGTAGCCTTATAATCAAGTGTTTGTGCATTTTCCATATAATCATATCACCTCAAAATAGACAATTGCATTCCTCTAATCTGCGTACTTTATTTCCATATATATATATATATATATATATATATATATATATATATATATATATATATATATATATATATATATATATAGTTGCACTGGCTATAACTTCCAGCCTGATGTTTAAAAGGAGCAATGAAAAAAGACATCTTGCCTTGTTCCTAATCTTAGGGTGAACTGTTCACTTCCTCAACATTAAGGGTAATGTAAGTTTGTTGTAGATATTCTTTTATTTTAAGATTTTTTAAAGATGTATTTATTTATGCTTACAGAACTGGGATACGGGACAGAGGTGTAGGGATGGTGAGAGGATTCTCTAGAGACAGAGTGGGGAGCAGAGCAGGCATTGACCAAGTACACTGTTGAGGGGAGCAGCGGGTGAGTCAGAAGAGGTCTGCTGTGCCATGTGGGTCATCTCCTTGGCTGGGAAATGAACTGGTGCTGCAGTGGCTTTGGAGAGCTTCCTAATGCGGTGCTTTAACCCTGTGCCACCAGGGAGAGCCCCTATTTTAAGATTCAAAAAATTATTTATGCATACAAAAACTGAAACTGAGGACAGAGGTACATGGATTGTGGGGCGGAAGGGTGAGATGATTCACCAGAGACAGAGTGGGGAGCAGAACAGGTGGATCTACTGCAATACACTGCCGAGTGGAGCAATGGGTGAGACAGGAGAAGTCTGCTGCACCATGTAGGTTAGCTCCCTGGGCAGGGGTCAGAGTCATGCTACAGTGCTTGATAGTGCTGAGACTTTAACCACTGCACCACCAGGGAGGTCCTGTTGTAAATATTTTATTTTTTGTAGACATTCTTTATCAAACTGGAGAAGTTCCCCTTCTAATTCCAGTTTGACAATTTTTATCATGAATAGATTCTATCAGATCACTTTTTTGCATCAAGTGAGATAATCATATGATTTTTCCTTTTTGGTCTGCGATGTGATTGGGTGGATTATACTGATTCACTTTCAAATGTTGAATTAGCCTTGCATATCTGGAATATATTCCACTCCATTCAATTAGTGCATACTTTCTTTTATACATTGTTGGATTGGATTTGCTAATATTTTGTTCAGAACTTTGTGTCTGTGCTCACAAAAGAAAGTGATCTGTAGTTTTCCTTTCTTGTAAAGTCTTTCATCTGATTTTGGAATTAGATAATACAGAATGAGTCAAAATGTTTTCTCTCTACTTCAATTTTATGGAAGGTGTACAAAATTGTTATTTCTTCCTTAAATAATTGGTGGAACTTATTGGTGAAGCCCTTTGGTCCTGTTGATTTCTATCTTTGAAAGATTATTAATTTTTGGTTCAATTTCTTTAGGCTATTCAGGTGATCATTTTCTTGTATGAGTTTTTGTAGTTTGTATCTTTCGGTGAAATGGAAACTTTAAGTGATTAAATTTGTAGACATAGATTTGTTCATTATATACATAATATCCCTTCATTATCTTTTATTTAAATTAATTAATTACTTTTTTCCCCTTTGCAATGTTTGTTTTTTCTCAGGTGTAGTACCCAGAGAATTCCCAACACCATTCACCTGTGCACCATCACCACAGTCCCTTGTGCTCTTCCCACCCTGCCCTGCAGAATGTCTCTTGATACAGTTGGCTGCTTATTTTTGTTTTGTTTTGTTGTGTCCCTCATTATCTTCTTAATACCCATAAGGCCAGTAATGATAATCCCACTTTTATTGCTGATGTTGTTCATTGGGGGGTCTGCTTTCTTTTTTTTCTTGGTTATCCTGGAAAGAGATTCGCCAGTTTTATTTATCTTCTCAAAGACCCAGCTTTGAATTTCATTGATTTTCTTCTCCATCATCCTTTTTTCACTTTCGTTGAATTATATTTCTTTTCTCCTCCATGTTTTAGATGAAGTTCTACTTTCTTTTGTTTCCTATGGAGAAAGCAAGATTATTGATATTAGATCTTTCTTTTTTTCTCATGTTCATTTAAGCTAGAAATGTCCCTCTGAGCATTGCTTTTGCTACAACTCAAAACTTTCTAAGCCTTCTGTATTTCTTCTTTGGTGAATTGTCTTTTCAGATCTGCTGCCCCAAAAAGTTTTGAGAAGTTGTATTTTTACTTAGTTCAAAATATTTTTACATTTCTCTTGAGAATTCTTCTTTGACTCGTGTTATTTAATAAAGAATTGCTGTTTCATTTCAGAAAATTTGGGGTTTCCATCTATCTTTTTGTTAATTGATTTCTAGCCTACATCTTTTGAGAACAGACTTTTATGACTTTTAAATTTGTTAAGGTCTATTTTATGGCCCAGAATATGAACTCTTTTGGTGAATGTTCTGTGTGAGCTTGAAAAACATGTGCTGTTAGATGGAATGTTTTATAGATATCAACTAAATCAAGTTGATTCATGGTGCCATTCAGGTCCATTGTATCCTTACTGATATTCAGCCTGCTTAATTTTCAATTACTGATTGGGAGGCATTGCAATTTTTGTGTTTCCTTATTGACTTCTATCCATTTTTTGCCTCATTTTAACACTTTTGTTA